ATTATGGGTTTGGAGAAGAAAAATTAGGAAGTAATGCAGTTTGTAGAAGCAAGTAAAAACAAAGAAGATATAAAAAGAGAAAAGGGGAAGTTGTTTCCAAAAAGCATGTGTGCACGCGTGCGTGCACACACACACACACACAAAATCACAGTAATTTTTGATCATGAATAGAGTTTTCTGAATGATTAAGTTTCCATCTATTTTCATTTCTATAAAATCATTTCTCACTTTACAGGATCATGACTCCATCTGTGCAGTTGCTGGTTCATAGTTACATACTGCCCCAGTGTTGAAAAACAAGTCATTCGCCAGTTTAAATATTGTTGACTCATAGATTGAATTCTTTTAGCAGGAGTGCATGTTGTGATGAAAGGCCAGCCTTCTGTTGTCTTTAAGAATAATTACTCTAGCTGTACATGTAACTATATTACTCACTCATTGTAATTTTTTAGCTTGCTATAAAAAATACAAAAGTGATGGTAAAATGATGTATTTATAATAAAAAATGTTAAAGTTATGGAGCAAATGAACTTTTGCAAAGTTTTAGAAAGAAATGAGCTTGTCACTAAAATATAAATATTAATTTTCCTTTTTCCAAACCACTAGCAAATTTGGCCCCCTCTGCCTTTCTTCCACATTTACTTGTTATATGCTTTTGAATCAGAATTGACACATAGTTAACCTGCCAGTGGGTCTATTGAGTTTTAAGTCTTGCTGGAAGAAACTTCCCATCTCTTCCCTGAGGAACAGCTGGAGGCTTTGAACTGCTTGGTTCTGGGTTGGCAATGCAACTCCTTAACCACTTTCACATAGACATTTTTATGAGTGTTACTCAACCCAACAACTTCAGAACACATGGTGCAACCAAAGGTCTTGTGGAAGAAGGGATGCTTAGAAGTGTCTAAGATGAGAAGAATGGTTTGTTAACTATCATTCATGCTTGAAAGCTAATAGCCTAAATTATCACTTTCTATAATAATTTTAATGACTAATAACACCGGCAGTAACAGAAACTAACATTTTATTGGAACTCTAGTGGTCCAGTGGATATAAGGAGCTGTGCTACCAACTCAAAGACTGGGGGCTCAATTCTACCGGCTGCTCTGAGAAAGAAAGATGGGCAATCTCCTCCCATATGATTTACAGCCTCGGAAAACTTGCTGGAGAGTCAGCAGTACTAAGTTTTTCCACTGCAATAACTCATCTTTTGTTTTCAAAATAATTTTTCAAGGTATATGTCATTATTAACCAACCTCATTTTACAAGTAAGGAAGCTGAGGCCAAATTCATTTGAGCGAAGGAACATGTCTAAAGTCACACAGTGTCTCTAGCAATTCAGATCCACTAGCAGCTCCGTAGAAGAAAGATGGGTAGTCTTCTCTGATTAAGTTTTTTCAAAAGCTCAAACTCACTGCTATGGAGTTGGAATGAACTCAGAGCTGACCCCCCAGTTGCTTTTCAAGAGACTGTAAATCATGAGGAAGGAGATTATCCACATTCTTCCTGCAGAGCTGCTTGGAGACTTAAACAGCCAGAGAGGTACCACTTTTGGTTTGGTGAGTATAACTCCCTTTAGGACTCCAGGGAGGCAGAACTGACTTGATGGCAGTGAAAGTGAGTGAGACTTAGATACAAATGTTTATGGCTTTAAAGTACTATCATACTGTTTAAATGGTACAATAAAGAAGTAGTAGGAATTTTCAGAGACCTTAAGGGTCATAGCCTTCAGTTACTCAGAACTGGCTATTTATATACTTTGTAAAGAAAAAGTCAAAAGGGACAAATATCACTCCTGAGGCCAACACATGGAATGGAGACATACTACCAATGCAATCCCTTAAACCATGTTTTCAGGAAAACAAAGCATCTTCTTGAAAAAAAAGATTCCATTAAAAATCTACAACTTAAATTTCATATGTAGAATACACTCAGGTATGTTTTCCTTGGTTTCCTATTACTTTCTCTGCTAGTAATGTTTCCAATGACCTCAGGCAGGTGTGGGGCTGACACTAGGAAAATCTTTTATTCCTTTATGACAGGTGTGTTAACAAGGCCTTTGTTCAGTTTTGTGAACACCTCAAAGCTTTGAAACACTTGAGTGGCTTTTTTGTATCTTTCGGTTCCTTTAGAAAATCTTGGTATATGAATAATATGATTTGTTTGAAAAGCTGTATTACAAATTTTTTAATAAATAAATGCACACACATGCATACATACAGAAATAAATAAAAAGATAATCCTCCCATTCAACATATGCTAAATGAATATTTGATATTTACAATCTGGACTGCCCTTCTCTCATGTAAAGAATTCCTCATAGTTGTAATGATAACATCTATTTCTATAAAGAAACAAAAAGAACTGATTCTAATAATATGGGCTATCATGAGCTGTAACCAATCCAATGACAATAGGATATTGAAAATCCATTATGTTCAAAGCACTTTTCAAAATTGTTAAACAGTTCAAATAATTAAACATCCGAACACAAATAGGCTTTTAAGCATATATGTCATTCAGGTTTGCTTGAGTATTAAATTAAACCTTTTATCTCCATCCAGTCATCTTTTTCATACGGGTTTTATTCATGTGTGTTAATTTTTCTTTCAAAAATAAAAGGAATATATGAATGCAAAGTCTAGCCACACCTTATGTTTTTATCAAGTGTTTCTGACTGATGACGTGAAGTTTGTCAGAGACGTTCTCTTCAAGGAACCCTTCTCGCCACTCAAGAAATCAATCTGTCTCCTAAGAATTTTCTACCAAAGTGTCTGAGAAAGATGAAAACGCATCCAGACAGTGTTTGTTTATAATCCAACAGTCTGCCACAGGGATAAACCTTCTTCAAAGCTTGTTTGTTACATGTATAAGCATTTTGCATTCTCTTATTAGTTGCTATGCATCAGAAAGCCGAAGAACAACTATGGATGACAGAAGGAGAATTGATACCTTTGAGTTGTGGTGCTGGAGAAGAGAACTGGACATAGCATTAACTGCTAGGGTAACAAAAATGGTTCATCCTAGACAGGGTGAAATCAGGCTGCTCCTTGGAGGCAAAAATTCTGAAGCTTCGTATGACATACTTCGGACATGTTGCAAGGAGGAACCCGTCCTTGGGAAGGGTTATGATGCTTGGGAGGATGGAGGGACAGCACCAGAGAGGAAGATCCTTGGTGGGATAGATGACAAGACTAGAGTAATGGAGGTATGTCTATCAGAGACAATGAGGTTGGTGCAGGATAGAGCAGGGTCCAGAACTGTTGTACGTAGGGTCTCTATGAGTCACAAGTGACTTGATAGCATATAACAACAAGAAGAAGACAACACCAGCAGGTTAGAATCCTTTATAGCTGACTCTCCAGTGGGTTTTAAGATGCTTTAAGTTACACTGGTCTGTCCATTTGCTGTACAGTGGTAACTCGTGGGATACTATGATGCTAAACACTGTGTCAAATGCGATAATGGTTACCCATGGTGGACAGGGTTTGGTGGAGATCCCCAATTAAAACAATCTTGGAAGCAAGAGTGGCATCCACTTATGAAATAGCTTGCCTTCGGAAACTCTGTGAACTTGGAGAAACGTGAAAGTTATACAAGTGTTTACGTCTTTTGTTCATAGGAGTCTACGACTTGATGGCATTTAACAACAACAACAACAACAACATAAGTTACACAGTCCAACTTTCTCCCATGTAGTAGATTCAAACCATCAGACATAAATCACTGTTGGATCAGAAAACAACAACAACAACAACATAAGTTACACAGTCCAACTTTCTCCCATGTAGTAGATTCAAACCATCAGACATAAATCACTGTTGGATCAGAAGCACAACTCTCTATGGAATATGCAATCAGGACTCCGTAGTAGAACTGTAAACATTAAGGAATTTTTTTCTCTGAGTCTGTAAGAGCAGATAATTTATGAATGTGTTTCATGTTGTTGCCTCAGGTTTATACAGGTTCACACATGTTTACACTTCTTTAGTATGAAACCTAAGTCAAAAAGCATGGATTGTATAGAAATTTTAAAAGCAATCTCTACGTTTCGCTAAAAGAACAGCTTGAGATCATAGCACTTACAGCATTTAATTGTCTAATTCAAATGCCTACCTTATTTTACTAGAGCAGTTCCAAAGAAACATTCCATGAAACCTTTTTTCCATTACCTTTCATATTATAAAATGATGAAAAAATTATTTCAAGAAAAACTTCCAAATATCAAGTTGAACACGTCTTTGGTAAAAAGTTCTGATGTTGACTCATGCTTGGCAAGATGGATAGTAAAATGCTAAGATACACAGAAATCCTATTCTTTATCCAGAAAATATTTTTTATTTTTATGTCCTCTCTGACTCTAAAATATAAATCTGCTCCTGGAACATACCATTCTTTCTTTACTTATTTCTGTCTCTCTCCTTTCCTCCCTTTCCCGTCTTTTTCCTAATTATATTGTCTAGCAGAAATGAATTATAAGGCTCTCCTTTACCACTTGGTGACTCTAGTGTGAATTTCTTTTTTAATTCCACACTTCAAATTAAGTGAAGTGAATTAGCATCTTCATTATTTCTTCTGTAAGTATTAAATTATGTTCTTGGAGTTTACTTAAAGGAAGAGACTCCTACAATAATAAGAATCAAACATGCAACGAACTCAGAGACCAACTATTCTTCTGGTCTTTGTATCTGCAGATGTATATGCCTAGATTTTCTTACCTATTATATGAAATCAGTAATAATATACAAACTAAGTTCTTTGTAAATAGTGAACTTTGAGTTCATTTAAAAATACTCATCTGTTCACATTCTAAAGCTGCTGGTTTCACTTCCTGATAGCATTACACAACTAAGGTACTCTAAAATGAGTATAAGAGCTTTTTAGAGAAAGCAAAACAAAATCCCTTCACAAGAATATTAGCACCACCTTGTTAATCAGTAAAGACAAGAGCTTATGTCTTCCTTAATGGCAGAAAACACAAACACTAAATATGATGTCCTCACCTGGGTCAGGTGGCATGCAGGCACAGGAAAAATGGGTGTTGTAGCCCACTTTGAAGTCGGAGTTGATGGGGTAGTAATCAGCTAGCTTGATCATCTTCTTGAAAGCATCATAGATAAAGATGAAGCTGATCAGAGAAGAGAAGCCTTCTTCAGTGAAGCGAGTGAAGTACTGAACCAAGAAGCTGGCATCAGTGGCTACCAAAATGAGACAGAGGAAGGCTGACCACAGGCCAATCCAAAGGCGAAACTCTAAATAATCAAAATTATGGTCCCTGAAAAGAATAAACAGAAGTGTTTATAGAGTTTTCATCCATGGGACAAGAAGAATAACATAAAACACCAAATGTTTACAATAATTGTTAAGCATTTAAGATTACATTTAGGCACCAAATACAAAGCTCATTTGAGATTTTATCTAGAGAGTATTAGTTTTAAGACTGAGAGCTAGTGATATTATCTAACTGTTATGACATAATTCCAGAGATTCAATAAAATCAAGTTAAAAGTAGCTATACAATTCCTAAACAGGTAATTCATTAAATAGCTCATTCAAAAATATGGACCCTGGCTTTTTCCAGTTTACAATGATCTCCTTACACAGCTGATACTAAGATCGTTGGGCTGAGAGACACTACACACACAGATTCAGCAGAAGGGGAGACTGACCATGAACAATTAATTTCATGAAAATCGTAGTGTCTGGCTTTTACATGGCAAGGGTGGCCTTTCTTAACTGGAATATACTCTATATTTGTAATATCATCTCCTATTGTTGGTAATACTTCACAGTGAGCATTGTGTATCATCTCATGCTGCAGGCTTTTATATACAGAGATAGATAGATAGATAGATGATAGATAGATAGATAGATAGATAGATAGATAGATAGATAGATAGATAGATATAGTATAAATATATATTTATTTATACATATTTTTCCTCTTTCTGGCCTGATCTTTCCTTGTGGATCCAGAATGCTGTTACTTACCCTTGAAAACCTTGAGTTCTCATTTACGCAGATTTCATCTATGTCCCTGGCCTGAGTTAGCTACTCTCTTCTCTGTGACACTTTAGGTGCACCTTTAGCTACCTCTGAGTATTGTCTAAATGTAATTTTTTTTATCAACTAATAGAGTATGCCAACTTAGGGGCAGAATGCATATGTAACTTAATGTCTCAGTAACAAGTCAAGCTGTTAAATAATTAAGCACTTGGTGGGTACGAATGCCTTGCTTCCAAATTGCTTGTTCTGTAAACTCCAGAAAGGTAGTGTCTATGGGCTTGCTTGATCAGACAGTAAGTTTCTGACAGCTGTAGTGATATATGAGTACTCTATCCTTAAAGCATCATCGATCCTCCTTTAGCTCTACTATGACAGTCTCCACTAGTATGCCTTTGCCTCATTTTAAGAAGTTCATTATCAATCTGTTTGCTCCATGCATATCCTATTAAAAGATCTTTCCATACAAAATAGAAAAAAAATTACATGTACAAATCAGATATGCCCCTCCTTAAAAACCTTTCTTTGATTTTCCACTGACTTTAAAGTAAAATTTAAAGTCTTTATGTAGATAAGACCAAATAACAGATATCTCCTAAACATCTATCCCATATTGTACTGCTTTCTTTCTGGGAAAAAACATGAAAATTATCTTGAGAAATATTCCAGGAAATTCATGAAAGGTAACTAGAAAAAATGTACCTGGTAAAGAGAAATGTGTTCAGTAATGCCCTTCTAAAGAATAAGTGGAAAATCTAATCTTTATTCTTAGAAAAGGTAGAGAATCAGTGAAAATGAGGAAGACCCTCAACAACATGGAATGACACAGTGTTTCAACAGAATTGAGTGTATCGAGATGATAAGGACGATAAAAGACACGACAGGGTTCTGAACTGTTGGTCATAGGGTTGCTATGAGTCATAGTTAACTCCATAGCATTTAACAAAGAATCAACACATGCTTGTGGCCTAAGAAGTGATTGAGACACTTACTAAAGGCTAGTTACCTTGTGTACTACAGGACAATGAATCCTGTGATAGCAGAAAATTTTAGAAGATTCAAAGTTGTATAGATCCTAGTTACTCAATGTGCTTTTGTGTAAAGATGAAGACACAAGTTAAATTATAACAACAACAATTAAGTGGTGGCAGTTTTAAACCAAAAACCAAATCTTATGATGCACGGACTGGCCATTGTTGTGTGCTGTTGAACTGGCACAGGAGGAGATTGTTCTTTCTTCTCCAGCGGAGCATCTGGTGGATTCGAACCATGCGCCTTCGAGATTGCAGCGCAGTTCCTTGCCACTAGGCTACCAGAGCTCCTTGGTCTTTAAAAAAAAAATTGCAATACTGTTTATTTCTCCAATAGTATTTGATTCAAGAAAGTGTGACATCAAAGAACACACAGTACAATACATCACCAAGGCAGATTATTAATGTTGAGGTAGCAAAGTTTTCTTTTAAGGATTTTTAAAAATATTTCTGAAGACAGTTTTTGCGTGCCCTCCCAGTTCTCCATGTCTATAGCCCACTATTTATTCCTATCAAGTCTTTTGAAATAAGTAGACTGCAGAAAAAGCTTAGTCTTAGGAAGTTGAGATCATATACAGTATTCATACAAGTCCTTTTGAAAGTCAGAGCTAAGAACATAGCTGTATTACTCCTGAGGCAACAGGCTCTTACTTAAAAGTTTTAAGCAATTCCCTAAGCTTTGGTTCTCTGACAAGATGGAAGCTGGGATAATAGCGATGTGTTCTAAGAATGCTAGTGCTTGTTTACAAAACTGTTTATTGGACTGGATGAGAAATAGATCTATGTATTAGTAAATGCTTAGAAGCAAGGATTAGTTTGGGTTACCCAGGGGGAAAAATGCATATGTAAACTCAAACTGAGAATGTAAAAATATGCTCAAACTAGCTGTTATCTTAAACTTTTAATATTCCCAGAGTAGCTCAACAAAATGGCCCAAATAAAGTCACTAAGACCAAGGGCACTCTATTATGAAAGTGAAATGTTTAGAGCAGCAAGAAGAAAGAGAAATGAGACGAGAAACAATTTTTAAACAAGTTAATCAGTAAAGACTAAAATAAAATAGCATTTTTGCACATAATAAGCTAATTAACCCCCTTGTTGCCAAGCTTAAACAGCAACTTAGTTATAAAACTAACAGGAATTGATAATAGAGATCCAAGAAACTCCAGCAGATCAAGGGAAAATAAATATATATTCAAATTGTACCACTCAGTGTTCCTAGGACTTTGAGATAATGTTTCTGAGTAAGATAAAATCAAATATACAAGCAAATTGAATTATTCATAACTGAAGCAGCTTACAGAAATGAATGTTCAGTCACTTACTAGTAATATACACTCTTTGAACTAAAGGAACAAAGCAAGTGACACAATAGGAAAAAAATAATTCTTTTAGAGCTTAAAAGCATATTGTGTAATAAAGAAATTACTAAATGGTTAAATGAGAATAAAACAGGTTAAAATCCTACTTGTAAAGTTCTAAAACTCCTTTCAGAATACGCCATTAAAAGGAGTAAAAAGGAATTTTGTTCTCTTTGTGTTAGATGAAACGTATAAAAGTAATACAGTAAGACTTCAGAATCTGGGGGACTAAAACTACAAATGTGCTTTTTTGGATATTTGTGAGTTATTTTTCATAATTCTAATACTAAACCAAAGAGATAACAGCTCATAATTTCTGTTTCTTTGTCATTCCTCACCTTATAATGTAAAAACGAAAGCCTGCATCCCATATCTACAATAAATTAGTGGATTTACGTGGATACTGTTAGAGTGCACCGAGACTCTGAAACAAGAAGCAATGCATTTCTCAAAATATGGTGAAATATAGCTGGATATATCTGGGCAAGACACAATTTAATAATTTCTATACTTCTCAGATTCCTTAGTGTAGTAAAGTTCAAAGCTGTTGTGCACCACTGAGTCAGAACCAACCTACAGCTGACCTCCAGTGGATTTTCAGAGGCAGTTAAATAGCCAAGTTCAAAGAGTGAGATAAAATATATAGACTTCCCCAAACTTACTTGGATCACACTCTTTTCCCCGTAGTATCTAACGGGACTAATAATTGATGGAGCACACTTTGGGGAGTAACACCAGTGCTTTGTATCTAGATAAAATCTGAGCACCAACTCTATAATACATCAAAGCACACAATGCAGCAGATCAAATAAAATGTTTGCCACAGAAGAACCACATATTACTCAGTGATGGATTTAAAACACAGTTTCTCAAATAGCCTTCGTTGTTTTAAAACTGTTTACAAATCAATCCTTTGAAACTATATTTATTTGCCAATTATGATGAAACAGAAGCAAAAGTGAGAAAGAAATTTGCTTAGTGGAAGGAAATCATCTCTATCCCACAATTATCTAACACAAGCTGTCAGGCAAACATTTTCTGTAGACTGAGGCTAAGATCACATTGCATTCAATAAATCTTTCTGCAAAGGTTGTGCATGTTTGTTCCTGTTTATACTACATGCTTGTTTAAGCTTTCCACAAAGACTTTCTTCTCTCACACAATGTTTTCTTAAACATATAAAAACTGTTTGACTCTCTGTAAACTGACATGAATAGAATTCTTTCCAAGGTTTATCTGAGAATTGCGACTGAGAAAGGCTCTGTAGCTATGACCTACAGAAAACACACAGCACTGTTTGAAATTTGGAACTTCTAAATTCTCAGAATTCTCCCACTAATGTTCCCACTCAGTTGTCAAAACACTTATTCCTTCTATATATTCTCATCATTTTTTATGTTACATGGAGAGAATTTCAAAGGCTACAAACAAGTCTTCACATCCATGAGGAGATATGCATGTAATGCCATTTATAAAATTCAAATCCTAAACATGCGTACAAATAGACGAATATAGAAATTCAAGTATGGAGTGCCAGTAAGCCAAATACAATTCTGTAATCTATCTAAGAAATAAAATGTATTCGAATTTTATAAATAAATCAGTATAAAATAAAAGGGAACAAACAAAAAAATCTTTCCATAAAGGAAATGTACTCTGAGAGATATCAAATACATCAGAAAGAGATCAGAATGTCTGATTCAATTTTTAATCTATTTGTGTGCTGATATGGCCATTTGGATAATTCACTTAATTTTCTCCTTCCTAAAATAATCCATCAATTTTTAAAAAAGGATATTAATATAACTGTCATAACCATTACAAGTCTCTAGTGGATCCACAGAAGGGTGCGCTCAAAAGTCAGAAAGCAGAGATGCAAATCCCAGCCAAGCCTTTGGATAGTTAGCTATGTCCTTTGTGCCTGTTTTCTCATCTATAAAATGGATGTGGTAATAGAATGGATACAACAATGAAATAAACCAAAATAGGAAAAACTCTAAAGACTGCATTTGGCATATGAGGAGAGAGACATAATTTTTCATGACTGTGAAACTGAATCCTGTAAGGTATAGTTAGTTAAGAATAAGAGATTTAGAGTGACGAGCAGTAAGCCAGTGCAGAATATCGGTCTTTCATTATTGAACCGTGCGAACCTGAAGAAGTCAGTAATTTCTCTAGCATATTAGTCAAAATCAGGCCAGGAAACAGAAGGAATGCTCAACAAATACTTTGAGGAAAATTTAATAAGTGGGCTTTGTTTAAAGATATGAACAGTAAAAAATGGCCAGGAAATTTAGGGTATAGCAGGAGCAGAATACAAAATTTACCTCCAGGATTGAAAGGACATGGGAGGAACCATCAGGGTTAAAGCAATGGTAGAAGGTGCACTTGGCAGGGCCCATTATCATAGGAGGGATACCTCGAGGCATAGCCATAGGTAGTCTTGCAAGTAACTCAAAGGCATGCTTGTCTGGCATTTCCAATTTACCAGCAGTTCTATGAGAGAACGATGACCAATTGCTTCGCTTGAGATTGAAAGCTTTGGAGACTCAATGGAAAGTTGGCTATGAGTAGCTTCCAACTTGAAGGCAATGAGAGAATTTTGACAAAGCTACTGCAAACTGTAGTGTTAACACAGAATTGTTGAGGAAGGGAGAAAGGAGGGGAGGAGAAATACCTGGTCCTTTTCTCTTCCTATCCTCTCTCCCCAGCAGCCGCTTCCCATTAGCGAAAGCCAAAAGAGAGCAGAGAAGCTGCAGATTATCTTCAATAGGGGTCAGCTTTTTAGGACACAATGTGTGATTAAGAACAGCAGGGAATGACTGGGAAGGGGTGCCAGAGTACAATACCACATATTCATCTTCAGTTAGTCCACAAGTGTTGGATGATCTCAACTCTAAGACCTTTTCAATTTACCAATTTGGTACTCCTGGAGCTACCTAATCACTGTGACTCTATGGTTGTGTTTGTTGTTGGTACTATTGGTAATATAAGTGTTCTACAAGTAAGAAATTCTAAATGATAATCAGTATATATACATACTTGCTAAAATTAAATAGAAGCCTCTCAAAAACTAGAACAGGTCCTGTGCTGCTCAAAATAGTGAGTGGCTGGCCAGCAAAAAGGCAAAAGATGGCTCCAGAAACAGCTGTGCCCAGGAAACTCTCCAACACGCCCTGCAGAAAGGAAACAGAGATGTTATATGAAACACATATCTTTTCTTCCCATTTGTCCCATGGGGAATGAAGTCACATGACAGTTTTATCATGAGAACCACAACAAATATATTAAACAAATATGAAGAAAAACTAACTCATCAATGTGAATGTCACCACATTTATTTCACCTTGGTCATTCATCTCTAGATTTCCAGGAGCTGAACTGCTCCAAAGAAATACAATGAATGGTTGGCTGTGAGAGACAAAAAAAAAAGGTCCTAATCCATACTAAAAATATGGATATTATGTATAAAAATTTTTCAATCACATCAACTGGGTAGAAATGATATGGTAATTTTAATGATACTTTTCTTTGCAATTATCCTTAGTGTTTATTTTAGCCGGTATCATCTTGCTCATAGTAAACTGCTTCTCTTGACTCTGTTCTAACTTATAAAGATCCTATAGGACTGAGTAGAACTGCCTCACTGAGCTTCCAAAGCTGGAATTAAACAAGATGCCTCATCTTTCTCCTATGGAGCATGGGTGAGTTCAAACCAGTGGGCCAGTAGGGCTCATTTTTCTCAAAGTAAGGTAACATAACGTGTCACGGTAATGCTGTTGTTGTTAAGAGCAGAATAACTGAGTACCACTCATTGAGATCCTAAAAACAACAGCTCTGAAGCCTGTCTATCCTGTGCCATCATCATCAACTCTGACATATTTGAGCCCACTGCTGCAGTCACTGTTGTCAGTCCATCTTGTTGAGAGTCTTCCTCTCCTCTGTTGACCCCTCCACCTTTCCACTCATGTCTTTTCCAAAGAATAGCCCCTCTTAACAATAGGCCCAAAATATGTGAGTTGAAGTTTCATCACTTTTAAATATCTAGGGAGCTCTAGTGGCTTACTGCACAGGTAACTGCACTACCAATTTAAAGACAGTGTGACATTCTGGCAGTTCAAATCCATCAAAGGAGAAAGAGACAATTTCCTCCCATGTGATTTACAGCCTCAGAAACCCGCTAGGAGTCCGTTCGAATTCAAGAGCAATGAGTTTGAGTTTATAAATAGAAATACTTTAATGTACAAAACTTTTTTTTTCAAAAGAAAATACTTTTGAAGCAGGGAAAAAAGATAACGTTACTTACTAAATTTAAGAAAAGTTATTTATTCCCTACTCTGCAATTTCTAAGATTACATTTTAAAAAAAATCTGGTAATCGCTGATTATCTATTGATATTTTGGGAGATCTGCTTTGCACAATCAATGACTTATTCATTGCAAATACGTTTTTTTAAGAGATATAAATGCAGGTTATATACATGAATTTCACCTGATGGTATGTATAGAAATCAGATTGATTAGATCTGCTGCAAGAAAAGCTGGAGAAGCTCAGTATCAGCTGTGAAAATTAGGCTAGGAGGTGACAGTGGAACAGAACACCAACTATTCATATACAAGTTCAAGCTGAAGCTGAGGAAAATTAAACCAAGTCCACGGGAACCAAAATATGACTTTGATTTCATCCCACCTGAATTTCAGAACCAGCTCAGGAACAGGTTTGAGGCCTTGAACACTAATGAGCAAAGACCAGATAGGTTGTGGGAAGCAATGAAGGGTATCATCCAGGAAGAGTGCAAATGGTCATTGAAAAGAAAGAAGAGGAAGAAAAGACCAAAATGGATTTCAGAAGAGACTCTGAAAATTGCACTGGAGCGCAGAGAAGCCAAAGCAGAGGGAAGAATTCAAGATACTAAAGAGTTGAATAGAAGATTTCAAAAGCCAGCACGGAACCACAAAATAAAATATTACAATGAAATGTGTAAGGAGTTGGAGTCAGAAAATCAAAAAGGCCAAATTCGCTCAGCATTTCCGAAGCTCAAGGAACTGAAGAACAAATTCAAACCTCGAGTTGCTATAATCAAGGATGCTTTAGACAGAATATTAAATGATCCAGGAAGTATTAAAAGAACATGGAAAGAATATACTGCGTCACAGAAGAATTTCATGAAACAACATATGGGCAAGATGAAGGAAGAAGTTCAAGCTGTTTTGAAGGAAACAGCAAAAAATGAGACCCCAGGAATAGATGGTATACCAATTGACATATTTCAGCTAACAGATGCTGCCCTGGATGTGCTCACCAAGTAGTGCCAAGAAATCTGGAGAACAACCACCCGGCAAACTGACTTGAAGAGATCTATATTTGTTCCCTTCCCAAAGAAGGGTGACCCAAAAGAGTGTGGAAACTATAGAACAATATCATTAATTTCACATGTAAGCAAGATTCTACTGAAGATTATCCAAAAACGACTGGAACAGTACATCAGCAAAGAACTGCCAGAATCCAGGCTGGGTTAAGAAGGGGCCGTGGTACTAGGTATATTGTAGCTAATGTTAGATGGATCTTAGCTGAAAGCGGGGAATACCAGAGGAATGTGTATCTGTGTTTCATTGACTATGCAAAGGTGTTTGACTGCGTGGATCATAACAAACTGTGGTGGACTCGGAGAAGAATGGGAATCCCAGAACACTTGATCATACTAATGAGAAACCTATACTTGGACCAAGAGGCAGTCATCAGAACAGAGCAAGGAAACACTACATGGTTCAAAATTGGGAAGGGCGTACGCCAGGGATGTGTCCTGTCTCCAAACCTTTTCAACCTGTATGCAGAACAGATTATCTGGGAGGCTGGGCTTTATGAGGAGAAATGTGGGGTCAAGATTGGTGGAAGATCTATCAACAATCTGCGATATGCAGATGATACAACCCTGCTTGCTGAAACTGAGGAAGACCTGAAGCACTTGCTGCAGAGGGTCAAGGACTGCTGCCTCCAATATGGATTGAGGCTCAATGTCAAGAAGACAAAGATTCTCACCACTGGGCCAATTGGCTGCACCAGGATGGATGGTGAAAAGACTGAGATTGTTCACAGCTTCAGTTTGCTTGGCTCCACAGTCAATACTCTCGGCACCAGTAGCCAGGAAATCAGAAGACGTATTGCCAAGGGAAAGTCTGCTGTTAAGGACTTCTCCAAAGTACTAAAGAGCAATGGTGTCTCTTTGGAGACTAGGGTGCATCTGATACAGGCTACGGTCTTTGCGATCACTTGTTATGCATCAGAGAGTTAGACAATGACCAAGGAGGATAGAAGGAGAACTGAAGCCTTTGAGCTGTGGTGCTGGAGAAGAGTATTGAGGGTACCATGGACTGCTAGGAAAACAAACAGATTCATCCTGGAAAGGGTCAAACCTGGTTATTCCTTGGAGGCAAGGATTTTAAGGCTCCATCTAACATACTTTGGACATGTTGTAGGGAGGGACAGGTCCTTGGAGAGTGACATCATGGGTAGGGTGGAGGGACAGCGCAAAAGGAGAAGGCCCCTTAGGAGGTGGATTGATTCAGTGATTGGGGTAATCGGAATGGGTGTATTGGAGATGGTGTGATTGGCACAGGACAGTGCAGAGTTTAGGGCTGTTGTACATAGGGTCGCTATGAGTCGCAAGCGACTCGACGGCACATAACAACTGGTGGCCTAGTAGGTAAAAAATTGTGCTGTCAAGTTAAAGTTAAATAGTTTTAATCTACCAGCTGCTCTGCAGGAGAAAGAAAGGCAATCTCATTCCATGCAATTTGCAGCCACTGAGAATTCACTGTAGAGTCAGTCACACATGAGTTAGTTTCTACTCAAAGGTACAAAACAACACCAGAGCAAATTTATGCATGATCTTAAATTCAGTTAATCTCTAGGAAAAAAAGAACAAGAACATAAATTCTTGTAATTATATATTTAGAATTCAACTATTATTTTACTTTAGCAAAAACCAAGAAAAGAAACAGGGGTCATCAAGCACTGCTGACTTACAAAATTATTGTAACATTCTGCTCTTAATTACCTCATTGGAGACCAATCCCTTATGTAATGGCAAATCAGTTTGTCTCCTAGGTTTCTCATTATTTCAGACTTCAGTTGGAAACAACATATTTATTTTTTAGAAAGATCTATTTGTAAATTTAAATAGTAAAAAGGAATGACTTACAGATACAAATGACAGCAGATCTTTTATTTATATTCAAGATTAACAATCTGAGCTTTAAAGCTTGTAAAATAAAAGCATTTCAAGTTAAGTAAGCAATGATAATCTGTGTGGTTTAAGAAAGTACAAATGTATATTAGTACAAGGTTAATTTACATGTTGTTCTTAAGTCACTTTCTGCACCTTCCTATCCCTCAGTTAAGAAACTCACCCAACACATTAGTCTCAATAAAAAAGTTTCCAAAATTTGTAACTCACTTAAATTTGTAGAAAGTATGTAATGTACACAAAATGATTATGAATAAATCCATTTTAAAGTCAACTTGTCAAAGACTCTGTTAGGTGCTATAGTCACGTGAGATTCATAGATATCCTATGTACATAAGAATGGAGCACAGCTGAACCCTGACAGTCTTTGCCATGCTTGAGCCCATTCTTGAAGTCCTGTAGCTATCCATTTTCCTGAAGGTCGTCTTTTATTTCACTGACCCTCTACCAAGCATGGTGTCTTTCTCTAGAGACTGATCCTTCTGTCCACCCTTCTATCCATCCCCACTTCTAAGAAGTATTACGACTGTACTTAATGCAAGAGAGATTTGCTCATTCTTCAGCACATAAGTGCACACATTCTCTTCTATTGCATTGGGGTAATCTTCCTTCAAGGACTTATATAAAGTGCTAAAAAGCAAGGATGTTCATTTTAGGACAAAGGTCTTAAGACTTGCCTAAGTCACAGTATTTTCAACTGCTTCATGTGTTTTTGAATTCTGGACAATGAATGAATAAGAATTATGAGAGGGGAATGAAACCCTTTGAACTGTCATGTTGGCCAAGGATTTTTAAAACACCATGGAGTATGAAAAGAACAAATTAATCTGTCTTGTGGGAAATGCAAACAGGGTGTTTGTTAAGAGGCAAGGCCTATAAGACTTCATCTCATATACTTAGGGTATATTGAAGGGAATCGGTTCTTCTAAG